TTCCTTTAGAACTTAAAAAGACAAAACACCCAAGGAATAAACTTAACAAGAAATGCTATCTATGTGAAGAAAATGGTAAAATGCTACTGAGAGACATAAAGTTGTTGTTGTGAGTTGCTATCAAGTCAATTGCGACTCATGGCCACCCCATGTGTTAGAGAGTAGAACTGAGCTCCATGGGGTTTCTTGGTTGTAATCTTAATGAAAGCAGATCGCCGGCCCAATCTTCTGTGGCTGGGTCTGACCATCAATCTTTAGGTTACCAGTTAAGCACAAACTGTGCCACCGAGGTACCTTGAAGGACACAGAGACAATAAACAAATTGAAGAGTATACAATGTTCTTAAAAGGACAACACGAGATACCAATTCTCCCTAACTAATCTATAAATTTAATGCAATCCCAATACAAATACCAATAGGAAAATTTGAGGGGAGACTAGACAAACTGATTCTAAGGTTCATGTGGAGAAAAGAAGAAAATATAGTTAGGACAATTTGGGAAAAGAAGAGGAAAGGGAGTCCTAGTAGATGTTAAAATATATTGTAATGCTAAAGCAATTAAGACTATACCAAAAAAAAAAAAAAAAAACCCACAAAGCTCACTGCTGAATTGATTCTGACTCATAGTGACTCCCACTGGGTTTCCAAGGCTATAAATCTCTATGGAAGTAGATTGCCTCATCTTCCTCCTGCAGAGCAGCTGGTGGGTTTGAACCACTGACCTTCTGGTTAGCAACCAAATGCCATACCCACAATGCCAAAAGAACTCCTAATTAAGACTATGGTGCTGGCAAACTGAAAAGACAGACCAATTGAAAGGAATAGAAAGTCCAGGAGTAAATTCAAATTTATTCATAAATTTGTTTAGGATAATGGTAGTGCTTTAAATTAGTGAAGAATAAAATGATTGTTCAATAAATGACTTTGAGATAACAAAATTACATTTGGAAATTGTTAGAAAAATAGGAAGAGCTATGAAAGCCATAAATAAATTACAAGTGACTCAGACATAGGAAAATTTGGTCAACTTCACTCACAGTAAGAAATGCAAATAAAAAGTACATCGAGATAACATTTTTCACCTTTCAGATTGGCAAAGATCAGTATGTTGATAGCACCAATTTGGTTGGTGTTTGTGTATGGAAATGGGCACATAAAAAACTGCTGATATTTATCTCTATGGAGGGTAGTCAGCAATATTTATCAAAACCTAAAATGTTTGTACCATTTTTCCCAGCAATTTTATTTCCAGCAAACTTTTATATAATTATACTCCTACATGTGCAAAATGGCATATTGAAGAATTGTTTGTAATTGGAAAGATCAGACATGAATTAAAAATCCTCAAAAGCATCAAGTTAAATGGTACAGTCATATAATGGAATATTATGCAAATATAACAATTAATGAGGCAGGTTTTATTTTTCATATGATAGGAATTATGGCCAAGCTATTCTGATAAATGAAAAAAGGAAGGGGAAGAATATACAGAAAGCATGCTACCATTTGTGGAAAAAGGAGGATAAGAATATATTTGTATATATTTGCTTGAATATGCATAATTACTTCTGGCAAAATATATGAAATAATAACATTGATTATTGGACGTAATGACTAAGAGACAGGAGTTGTGAGGGACATTTCACTGTTCACTTCTGATTCTTTTTGAACCATATGAATAAACAGTCTACCCCAAAGAGGAAATATATAAAGTTAAAGCTAAGAAAATCTGACTTACTGCCATTTACACAGATGCTTTTTTTTTTCTTGCAAAAAGAATCCCACAAGTAAGTACTAGCAGACTATTGAGTCAGCTGTTCAATGATACCTCAAGGACTAGGTTCTTCCTCTTTTTGAGGTCCTGTAATACTCAGAAGTACAGCCAGACTGCTCCTTAGAAGCGAGAATGGCCAGATTTTGACTTTGGTCATGTTGCCAGAAGGGACCAGTCCCTGGAGAAGGATATCATGTTTGGTAAAGTAGGAGGGTCAGAAAAAACAGGGGAAGAATGAACAACATGGATTGATACAGTGGCTGCAATGGTGGGTTCAAGCATAGCAAAGATTGTAAGGATGGTGTGGGACTGGGCAGTGTTTCATTCTGTTGTATGTAGGGTCACTATGAGTCAGAACTGAGTCCAGAGCCCCTAATAGCAACACATACACAGAGGATTGACTTTTTATCCCCATGGCTGTTGCGTCATGATGGGCAAAATAGCTGCCATAGCTCAGGCATCATGTCCTCCTCACACATTCCCCAAATAAGAAAGAAGGAGGCAGGGCAAAGAAGAGCAAAAAGTTTCTCTTAGTGACATTCCTTTTTATCCTGGGAAGGAAGACTTCTGTGTACATTTCACTGGTGAGAAATGGATCTCATGTCTACCCCAAACAAATTCCTGGCAATGTCAATTCCTGATATCATGGAATCTATGCCCTAGTAGAGAAATGGGCTTCTGGTCCTAGGAGAGGTGAGGAGGTCTATTGTGTAGGCAACAGAAAGGGTCTGTCATAGCTGTCAGTGTGAACCACACCATCTTTTGAAAGTGGACATTCTTAATTACAGGACCACATACCCCCTCACATCTCCCACTGCCGCCACTGTACACCCAATCGCATCCATCTCTCTTGGACAGCACGTTGGCTTCCTCACTGCTCTCTTCACATCCATATTGACTTTGGTTGGATTCAGTATTGGCTTTCTCCATAGGGTACAAGACTGTGATTCTCAAACATAATATAGGGTCTAGCTGGATTCAAAGGAGCTCTGGTGGTATAGTGGTTAAGGCATTTGGCTGCTAACCAGAAGGTTGGTGGTTGAAACCCACCAGCTGCTCTGTGGGAGGAAGATGAGGCAATCTACTTCTGTAAAGATTTACAGCTTTAGAAACCCAATTGGAGTTGCTACGAGTTGGACTCGACTCTATAGAAGTGTTTTATTTTGTTTTTGTTTGTTTCTTTAGCTGGATCCAGACTCAGTTACTCATTTATCAACTACTATTGTATCCCCTTCCATCTTTTGAAGATAACATTCAAGAGGCTTTTTGCAGTCTTCATTGATTTTCTATCTTTTCATTCTAGACAGGAGCTCCCCTCAATACAGAGTATGCTCTGTTAATGTGTCTTGGAGCTGTATTAACTCAGCCCTGGGAAGATAAGCACCGGCAAGTAGAATGCTAAATTTAAATGATGTCCATAGGACTGTGCCTTAAGCTTGAATTTTTTTCCTCCTTTGGTTGAAAATATACATATATATTTTTTACAGAAATATATGAAATTTGTTTTTTTATCTGAGCACATAGAACAATTATTAAGGATTCACATTGTCTGGCTCTAGCATACTGAGGGGTGGGAGGATTTAACTCTGCCCAAAGATATAGAGCTCAGCATTATTTACTCTCAAAAGGAAGCTGAATTGAATGCTTTCACGGTCAACCTTAAGTAACCTATCCACTCAGTTGGATCAGACAACTGAGGTATGTGTTTTGCAGCCACACCATCTTGATGAGCCCCAGCAGCAGAGGTCTTAAAATTAGACCCACAAAAGTAGCCTTTTATGGAAGGAGTGGTCAGCTGGCAGCGCCTTCTCTAACAATCCTTCAAGTGAAGCTCTTCTCCATCGGGCTGCATGATAGATCAGTTCTAGGGGACTCCAGCATTTACTAACAGGAGAGCTTGGGGAGATGTAAAGTTCTTTTTTGGAAAAAAAAAAAAGGAAAATCTTGAGCATACCTCCAGAGCTGAAGGAGGCTGGCCTAGATTTTAAACTTTGCCAAGCCAGTGTTGAATTCTGGCCTCTCATTTTATGTCTAAAGTGCACATCTTTCCCTTCAAACCACCTCATAAAACATTCTTTCACTCTGTGTTGTGGCTGGAGGTTTGAAAATTTACTGAGACAAGGCCTGTGGAACATGCAAGAGATTGATCTGATTGTTAGAAAAAGCCAACCCATTCTACCTATTCTAAGAAACTCTGGAAGGGTGTGTCATATAAAGTTTTTTACCCAAGAGACCTCTGGAGTCAGACTAACTAGGTGCAGATCTCAGCTTTGTCATTTGCAGCTGAACCAGGCAAATTACTTACCCTCCCTGTGTCTTAGTTTCTTCATCTATAAAATGGGAATAATAGTCTCTATTTATTGGGTTGTTGCAAAAAAATAAACTAATTAATATTGTAAAGTATGTAAAACACTGCCTGGCACATTGCCAATTATTAACAGCCAATATTATTACTTGAAGTATGTAATACCAGTCCCTCATAGAAATGCCTTTGTTGCATAATATTTTAATGTTTTGACCTTTGCCTTTGATACTGATCCAATAAAATAATGTTTCTATATAAATCCCAAGAAAATAAATGATCTGGGTCACAAGCTTCTCTTTATTTGCATGTGGTTACAATTTATAAATACACTTGCCATTTCCTCCCCTACAAAATTCTCCCCAAGTAACCCTACCCAAACCCCCAGTTTTTCAATGACTCCTTTTCCTCTCATCCAGGAGGCAAGCAGTAGAGGTCCTCCATATACCCTCTGCTCCATATCAGGGGTACCTCAGTCTACGTGCAGTGTGGGCTCTCGCAAGGCCTCTGAAGCTTAAGGATGAGCACCACGCATCCTTTAGAGGTCTTGGTGATGTCCTTGCAAATGACCATGCTCTGGCCTCTGTGCTTAGGGTGCCATGTGGCAGCAGTTGGCACATCTGCCCTGTCACAGCCTGAAGCTGAGCTGGTGCAGCCCAGTGCGCAGGTGGGTCTTCAGTGAGGCTCAGGTTTCCCAGGCAGTGATGAGAGTCCTGTGCAGGACGCTGTTCCCAGCCAGTGTCTGGCACTGCTCTCAAGAGTGTCTGAGCCCTGCCTTGCAGGACTCTGTTCTCAGGCCCAACTCAGGTCCCCTGTGAGTCCTGTTGGGGGAGGCCAGCCTCAGGGGAGAAGTGCCCTGTGCCTCCCTTCTTCTTTTCCAAGACACCATCAAGCATGAGCGACAAATTGGCTCCTTGGCCCCATCAAAGGGCGTGGGACCCCAGTGTCTCTGTCTCAGCCAGGTGCCAAGCTTTACCGTCTTCCTGGTGGGGGGTAGAGAGGCCAGGAGGGCCAGGGGTACCTTCTTCTGGAATGGGGTATGGAGGCTCTGGGGGAGCTGTGGGGTCTCCAGGGCCCCGTGCTCCCCCCAGTACTGGCCCATTGTAGATGTAGATATTGCCGGTGACTGTCATAGAACCGCCAGTGACATGTATACCGTTGGTACCTGGGGGAAGGGGGCAGAGTGAGAGGGGCCGAGGGGACACTGAGGAAGGAAGGCCTGTGTGCTCCCAACATCAGACCCCAGTGTCTTACATCTTGCAAGCCCTTATTCTTCAGCCTTCTCTCTCTCCCTCCTAACCTCCCTCCCTCCTTGTCCTTTCTCCAATTGCTATTGGTTTCACAAGCTGTGTATTTATTTCTGTTTCTGGGTTTTTGGATCCCTTCCCTTCTCTCAAGTTGTGATACCCTGGCTGGCAGCTGGGATCTCAGTCTTGCCTGTTTTAGTCTTTTCTTTTCTGTCTGTACTCTCCTTGCACCCATCCCCTCCTCCCCATCCTTTTGCACACCCCTTTCTTATTGGCAGCCTGCCCCAAGCTCACCATGGGCCACTGGGCCCTGCTCCTCAGGCTCGGCCTCAAGCTCTCTGGCCTGACCTGGAGGATTCCGCTGTTGCAGCACCTCGTCCTCCAACACAGGAGTTGCGGAGTGACTGACAGAGGCTGCGGGCAAGTCTTTGGGGTTGGGCAGAAGCTTCTGTACCAGGTCAGGGAAATGTGGGTTGGTTCTCTGAGATTCCCAGCTTCCATCACCATTGACTTCCACTCCCTGCAGGAGAGGCAGAGAACCAACCAATGACATGGGCCCCAGACACCACTTTTCTGTAATTCCCACATCCCACCCATGGTTAGGCGGCTCATTGCCCTTCTCTGCTCCTCATCTTGCTCTCTGCCTCAGGGCCTTTTCACTTGATGTCAGTCTTCCTGGAGCACTTTCCTCCCGGATATTCCCATGGCTGGCTCCCTTACTTCTGTAGGTCTCTGCTCAAATATCATCTTATCAGAGAGGCCTTCTCTGTCCACTCTAAAACAATGTACCCCATCCTCTGCCATTGTCATTCCCTATCTCCTACCTTCTCAGCTACCCCCATTACCTCTGGATGCCTCTTGAGCAGAAGTCCTGCAATGGAAAAGGAAATGGATGTAGGACTTCTGGCAAGTCTCAGATCCCAGCCTTTCACCCTCCATAAACCTGCCCTCTCTGGGGTCCCAGAAGAAACAGTCTATCATTACTTTTATCTCCAGCCCAAGAATGAGGGGGTGGATGAAAATGATGATGATGTCTGTGCTGGGGGCAGGCACTGGGAGTGTTGAGGGTGTGGGAGGGGCAGAAGAGTTGGCACCAGGGATGCTGACAATTTCCTCCTTCCTCCCAGCCCACCCATATGGGGACAGAGGGCCCAGCCTGCGTCCTGCCTGCAACTGGCTGCTTCTTACCTAGCTTTCTGCAGAGAGAGGGATGGCTCTTCCAGGTGCAGGCGAAGATGGTGGTGAGGAGCAGGAAGGAGACAAGTGGCAGCAGGATGGCCAGCACCAACATAGTTCCTGCTGGGATGCAGGAAGGGGGCAGATAACCCAAGAAGGACACAGGGGAAAGGAAGTTAGGGGAAACAGAAAAGGGGGGTGTTTTTTTCTTTCCACTCTCCATCCCCCCACAGTTTCTAGATGCAGAATTAGAGAAACTTCTCTTAAATTACAGAGAAGAGAACTAAGTTGGACTTGGGGAGACCATACGACAGCCAGGAGAGACTCTATCCTAGAGATATTTAGGGTGATGCAGGTATCCTTCTTCCTAGAGACTAGTGACTAGAACGCTCTTGTGGGTGAGGGATAGGAGCTTGTGCAGCTGGTTTTAAAGGGCTGGAAGTAATAGCCAGAGGCAGTACAGGAAGGGTGGGGCTCGGGGTTGTAAACAGACTCAGGCCACAGAGTAGAGCAACATATCTGTGGACTTGACCATCTTTCAGAGGGGCCACTGGAGAAGGATTTGGGATTGCCTTTTCTCTGTCCGTGGGTGTATTTACAGGGGTGGGAGGCGGGGAAGCATGGAAGAGCCTTGCTTCTGAGCTCTGCCCGTGGCTGCTGGGGTGTGTTGGGGTTGCAAGAGTTTCATCCCCTTGTCAGGGCAGGCTCCAGGAGGAACAGAGAGGGGGAGCCTGGGAATTCCTTTCTCAAGCCCTGATTGTAGCAGTCAGTGGATAATTTCCTTCCTTCTATGGGAGTCAGCACTATCATCTATAGCATAGAGTCTATAATTCCCATCAACCATTCTGGGGAAAGTTAGAAGGACTTGGATATTGGTGTCCTGGGAGTTTTGTCCTTTCTGATACACCTAAATACGAGGCCCAAAGAGGAACAGAATGGGAGGCACAGGAAGAAATTAAGACCAGGAGTCAGGACACCTTGGTTCCTGCCCAGCTGTGTAACTTTTTAAGTTATTTCGCCTCTCTAGGCATCAGGTTTTTCATAAACAAAATGAGGGGATTACCGTATATACTTTCTAAAATTCTAGTATTATTTGATTAAAAAAAAAAAAAAAAAAAAAAAAACTCACTGCCATCAAGTCAGATCCGACTTATAGCGACCCCTCTTTGGGTTTCCAAGGCAGTATCACTACGGAAGTAGAATGCCCAACCTTCCAAGGAGTGGCTGGTGGGTTTGAACTGTCAGCCTTCTGGTTAGCAGTCAAATGCTTTAGGCACTATGCCACCAGGGCTCCTAGTATTATTTGATAGGTACTAAAAAATGTAATAAGAGCCATGGAAAAGTATTTATGATATACTGTTGAATGAAAAACCAGGTAACAAAGCACTAAAATGACTATTTTTAGGGGAAAAAAAAAAAGAAAAAAAGATGTGTTTACACGCATAGAATAAGGTCTGGAAGGATATATTGCAAAATGTTAAGAGTGCATATGCTAGGGGATGGTACGATGGTGATTTTCAGTTTTGCTTATCTGAATTTTCTAATTTTCCACAGTGATCAGGCATTATAGCCCGGGCTTGGAGTAAGAAAGATCCGAGTACAGTCTTAGTAAAACCAGTTACCACCTGGGTGATTCTGGGCAAGTCACTTAACCTCTGAGCCTCAGTTTCTTCATCTAGTTAATAAGGATAATAATAGAACCTGCTTTATAGGATCATTAACAAGGGTCAGAGTTATCAAATGTAAAGTGTTTCACAGAGTGGCTGACACAATAGCTCTCAAAAAGTGAAAGCTGTGATTAAAAATATTTGGCTGTAACAAAGTTAATAAAGTAAACTCTGCCCCAATTAATAATGATTACAGTCATTGGAAACTCCTGAAATCATCTACTTGGCTATGAAACCAAGTCCACAGAAATAACCAAGACAGAGTCAAATGTGAGAAAGTCTCTATAATTATGCACAATTTAATAGAGAGGTATTTGATCTAGTGAATGCATTATATGATGGTGTCATGTCCAAAATGTTGACAGTATCAGAATTACATCTTATGAGTAAGAATGTCCTTTGGCATATTATATGTAGTTTATAAATTATATATATATAACTTTAAAAGTATGTATATATGTGTGCATGTGTGTGTATGTGTACGTGTTTGTGTATGTGTATGCAAACCAGCCTAGACATTATCCACAGTTTTTCTTTAAGGAACTTTTACTCTTGCCTTAATACCTAGAAGGGAAGGATTAATCTTTTCTTCATTTTTTTTTTTTATATGGAGAGAGGAAAGAAAGAAGTATTTTCCTAGATCAGACTACTCTTGTGCCCCTCAGCCCTGGCCCCTCACCTGGTGTCTCCGGGGGCATCACTGATGGATTTCTGCAGCTAGTATCATTCTGGGCAGTGCCTGGAGCTGCTTCCACCAGACCCTGGTCCTTACACCTATGGAAGAAAGACAGGCCTGTGACTTCTTCATGCTCCTGTCCACCGGTGGACATATGGGACTGGAAGTAGCAAGGTGAGTCAAGAAGTCAAGCATTAGAGGTAAGGGGGCCAGCAGGTGGGGCTTCTTGGGGGGCAGGAGAGGTGAAGAAAGAGGGTGAGAGAACTCTAGCAGGGGCATACTCAACCTCGTATGGGGCTGGCAGCGGGCATGGGGGGAGGAGGTGTTCTGGAAGTGCCCTGCCTTACAGGGAACACAGTTGTTGTCAGTCTCCCTGTCTTCACCTGGTAAGAGAAAGGCAGGGCCAGCCAGAGTGAATGCACAGAAGGTAATCTTCCTTTATGCCCATGGATGGGTTCCTCCTTGCCCATCCACGCTGTTCTGTAGTTCTTACTCTAATCTTTGACCCATCCCAAAATGTCTACTGTTTTGCCCAAGCTTACCCAGGGCTCACAGGAGCCCCTCCTGAGCCCCCTGCACCTGTCCCAGTTCCATTTCTCTGCAAGCCCCTCTGTGAATTTTTCCCATGGAGTGGGAAGAAGCATTTTATGCCAAAGATAACTACCTGGGGAGTCATCATGGGCACATCACCATGCTCCCTGCCCCCACTCAAGATAGCCTCCTTGTCCTCCACCCTCAGTGACCTCTGACCTTTGAGCTCTGCTTCAGTGCCAGGCGGGCAGTTAGAGAGTAGCTCACAGTGTGTACACTCAGAATCCCGGTGGGCACAGAACATTCCTGGCTGACAGCGGCACTGGGTCCCCTGTGTCCTAGTGCAAGGTGCAATCTCCTCGAAGCCTATCACTGGTGGGGAGACAGGAGATCTCAGGAGAGAGGCTGCACCCCAGGAGATCCCAGCCTTCCCCAGGCACATCTCACTTACCTGGGTCACAGGGGCGGCACAGCTGGCATTTGGTGAGGTAGTTCCAGTGCTCATTGTAAGAATTTTTGGTGCATGGGGAGCAAACTGTGTTCTCGCTGCGGCTACACTGAGCTGTGACATATGTGCCTATGACAGTACGAGTGTTAGAACATCAGGATTCCATTCTCACCTCTATCACTTGCTGCGTGACCTTAGGGTTGTCCCTCAGCCTCTCTGGGCCTCCCCCTTGATAACCCTTCAGCTACCACTCAGTGAGGTAAACAATTCAGTGAGGGATCAGGTGAAGATGGCAAATCTCAGTGCCCATATATGAGGGATGGCCAGTGTTTCTCACTGTCTTCGCCAGCTGGTGTTTCTGGGAGACAGGCAGCACCATAGCTGGAGGACCCTGTGACCCATGTCTCTGTCCTGGGCTTCCTTCAGCCATTGCATCTCACCTGGGGGGCAGCTTGAGCAGCAGACCCGATGAGTGGACTCGTAGTACTCCTTTTCCTGGTCCTGGCAGGTGTGGTTCTCCGTGTGGTATGGGGGCACCTTCATAAGCAGTGGTGGAGATGGGGGGAAAAGAACTTAGAGACCAGTTAGGGAGGGTAGAGAAAGGGCCGCCTAGACCCCTCTTCCCTACTCTCAGCCACCTCCACCCCACCCGAACGGCCCCCTCACCCGTCGGGGCTGGGACACTGCCAGGAGCCCGCAGAGTCCCAGCACGAGTGGCCCCCAGGCCAGGCCACAGGGAGAGGCGGCCCAAGGCAGGCGCATGGCGGACAGTTGCCCGATCAGCCAGACAGGGAGGCCTAGAAGGAAGGTGGGAGGCCAAGGATGGCCTGGGCAGTGGTGGCGGCAGCTTCCCGAGCCCCGGGGCTGGGACAGGACTCTGAGCCGACGTGCCCCCGGGGAGCGGGAGCGGCCAGGCCTGGCCTCCGGGGCTCCAGCCACCGGGCTCAGGAAGTGGGAGTGGAGTGAGCCGGCCGCGGGGCGGGGACAGGGAGCGCTGGGAGCTGAGTCCGGCCTGTCGCAATCGGGAAGAGGAACAGGCTTGGCTGCATCGACGCGGCCAGGAGGAGGGCAGCCGGGAAAGCACGTGAGGGCTGCGGCGCCGCCGCCGGAACCGAGGCCTCCTCCCTTCTTTGGAATCCTGATCCGAAGAGGAGCTGCGGGGATCGGCCAGGCACAGCTGGTGGGAAAAGGGCAGCAGAACCAGGGGACAGTCCTTAGGCCTCAAAGGGGCAGAGCTGACCAGGGAACAGATGGAGTTGAAGACAGGGCATTGGACAGCTGGGTGCAAAGGGTCAGATCCGAGAAAGATGAGCTTGGGACTGACAAACATGGAGAGTGCACCAAACACACACCCACAGACTGACAGACAGTGTATTTGGAACCAGAAGTCCCAGTTGGCAGCAGCGGAGGCTGTCTTCCTCCTTTGAAGATGAGCATAGAAGGATAACAAGCCAGTCAGGCCAGGCCTTGTTGCTCAGCCTTCCTCCCTGTCCTGAACCATCCACACATTAGTGGGCACAGATCACCTGCTTCCCTGCCCACATGTTCCCTTCCTTCCAATGATAGGATGCGTAGACTGAGTTTTCTATGAGTAGGGGCCACCTAGGCTGGAGGTGGGCAGCCGAAGCACTTAGTCCCAGTTTCTTCACCAATGAGCCTTTGAATCACTTTGAACTGAAAGGGACCTGAGAGCCAAACTAGCCTCTCACCTTAAGGATGAGAAGACTGGAGTCTAGGGTGCATGTAGAGGAAACTAGGATTCCAAAGTGGCTTAGTCAGTTGCCTGCCCCTTTCTTCTTATTATTTCTGTTCAACCTGTTAACAGCCCCATGGAGCTCCTTGTAGTCATTATTCTGCCAGGCTCTCTGGTCTCAGGTTCTGCACTCCTGGCTCCCTCCTATCCTGAGAACTCATTCAGGCTCTGGGAAGCAACCCCTCCTCTAGCCAGCAATTCTCCCACACAGACTGTTCTATGTAACCTGCTGCTCATTACCCACCACCTCCCCACCAGACTGGGAGCTCTGCAAAGCCTGGACTGAATCCTCACATCTGGGTTCCCAGTGCTTAGCACAGAGGCTGCAATGTACCAGGTACTTGATACCTATTTTATGGAATTAAGTGGATGAAAGAATGATGCTTTGCTCAGGTCCCATAGTCATGGCAGAACCAGCCTAGAGTCCATGTCTTCTGCTTTCTGGATCTCAGCTCATTCCAATGGCCTCTGTGTGTCTCATGGTGTCTCCCTTGGGATAAAGGGGGCTAACATATCCTCTTCAGATAGCTCACCTGGACTCCATGAGCCCTTCCCTTCCCACAGGACTTTGTTTAGCAGCCATCCCTTTTTCCTCCATATCTCATCCCCCTCCCTGAGCTCCTCCCTCCATTATTTAGAAGCACATTCCAGACACCATGTCATTTCATTTGAATAATTTCAGGATTTTTCTTTTAAAGGCAGGGATTCTTTTTCTTATACCTCTTATAATTGAAGTATAACATATACAGTGAAGTGCATAAAGTGCATTAATCTTATGTGTATAGATCAGTACATTTTCTTGTTTGTATATTCCCATGGGAAGCTCTGGTGGCATAGTGCCTAAGGCATCTGACTGCTGACCAGAGGGCTGGCAGTTCAAAACCATCAGCCACTCCTCGGAAGAAAGGTTGGACAATCTACTTCCGTAGTGATACTGCCTCGGAAACCCCAGGAGGGGTCCCTATGAGTCAGGGCCGACTCGACGGCAGTGAGCATGTGTCTTAGTTTCATAGTGCTGCTGTAACAAAAATACCACAAGTGGGAGGCTTTAATGAATAAATGTTTTCTCACAGTTTAGGAGGCTAGAAATCTGAATTTAGGGCCCTGGCTCTAGGGAAAGCCTTGCTCTGTTCATTCTAGGGCAAAATCCTTGTCTCAGTTTCTCTAGCCACAATGTTCCTTCGTTCCTTGGGGATCCTTAGCTCCTCTACATTGCATCTATTTTCCCCCCATTGTGCTTACTGCTCTTTTTATAGCTCAAAAGTGGCTTCATTAACATAGAAAGCATAACAAAGAAAACCCTATTTCCAAATGGAATTACATCTACAGGTATAAAAACTCCATTGTAGTTGAGTCAAATCCAACACATAGTGACCCTACAGCACAGAGTAGAACCACCCTATAGGGTTTCCAAAGTTGTAATCTTTACAGGGATGCAACGCTGGAAATGATTGCTTGTCTATGCCAAGAAATTTGGAAGATAGCTAACTGGCCAACCTAAAAAAAAAAAACAAAAAACCCAAAATCCAAAGTCACTGCCGTGGAGTCAGATCTGACTCATGGTGACCCCTCCTTGGGTTTCCGAGGCAGTATCACTATGGAAGTAGATTGCCCAGTCTTCCTCCCAAGGAGTGGCTAATGAGTTTGAACTGCCAGACTTCTGGTTAGCAGTCAATGCCTTAAGCACTACCCCACCAGAGCTCCCTATTGGAAGCAACCTATTGGAAGAGATCCTTATTTGTGCCCATTCTGTAGAAAGGTGATCCAACAGAATGCACAAGTTATCAAAAAATATCATTAATATCACATGCAAGTAAAATTTTGTTAAAGATAATTCAAAAATGGTTGCAGCAGTACATCAGTAGAGGCCTGCCAGAAATTCAAGCTGGATCAGAAAAGGACGTGGAATGAGGGATATCGTTGCTGATGCCAGATGGATCTTGGCTGAAAGCAGATACTACCAGAAAGGTGTTTACCTGTGTTTTATTGACTATGCAAAGGCATTTGAATGTATGCATCATAACAAATTATGGATAACATTGAGAAGAATAAGAATTCCAGGACACTTAATTGTGCCCATGTAGAACCTGTACATAGACAAAGAAGTAGTTCTTGGAACAGAACAAGGAGATAATGCATGGTTTAAAATCAGGAAGGGTGTGCGTAAAGGATTGTATCCTTTCACCATACTTATTCAATCTGTACACTGGGCAAATAATCTGAGAAGCTGGACTATATGAAGAAGAATGTGGCATCAGAATTGGAGGAAGACTCATTAACAACCCGTACTATGCAGATGATATGACCTGTCTTGCTGAAAGTGAAGAGAACTTGAAACACTGATGAAATCAAAGATTCCAGCCTTCAGTGTGGACTACACCTCAACATAAAGAAAACAAAAATCCTCACAACTACACCAATAAGCAACATCATGATAAACACAGAAAATATTGAAGTTGTCGAGGATTTTGTTTTATTTGGATCCACAATCAACACTTATTAAAGCAGCAGTCAAGAAATCAAACAACATATGTTGTTGTTGTTGTTATTTGCCATCGAGTCGGCCCCGACTCATAGCGACCCCTCCTTGGGTTTCCGAGGCAGTATCACTACGGAAGTAGGAATGCCCAACCTTCCTTCTGAGGAGTGGCTGATGGGTTTGAACCGACAGCCTTCTGGTTAGCAGTTAAGTGCCTTAGGCACTATGCTACCAGAGCTCCCCAAACAACATATAGCATTGGGCAAATCTGCCGCAAAGGACCTTAAAGTATTAAAAAGCAAAGGTGTTACTTTGAGGACTAAGTGCACCTGACCCAAGCCATGGCATTTTTTAATTTTAATTTTTATTGTGATTTGGGTGAAAGTTTACAGAGCAAATTCGTTTTCCATACAGCCTAAGCCATGGTATTTTAAATCACCTTATATGCATGCTAAAGCTGGACAGTTGTATGTAGTGTTGCTATGAATTGGAACCTACTGATGGCACCTAACAACAACAGATCTTTATGGAAGTAGATTGCCATGCCTTTCTCCCACAGAGTGACTGGTGGGTTCAAACTACCAACCTTTCAGTTAGCAGCTGAGTGCTTAACCACTGCCCTACCAGGGCTCCTTATCCACAGGTACAGGGGTTAGGATTTCAATACATATTTTTGGGTGACACAATTCAATCCATAGTACCACATATCCCACTCATAACATCTCCTGTACCCCAAAAGATTCATTTATGCTCTTCCCAGTTACCCACTTCACAAATAACCACTGTCTCAGGTCCTTTTTAACCCAGCTAGCTGAACTGTGGGAGCTCTGGTGGCGAAGTGCCTAAGGCATTTGACTCTAACTAAAAGCCTGGTAGTTTAAACCCACCAGCCACTCCTCGGAAGGAAGGTTGGGCAATGTACTTCCATAGAGATGTAGAGGTAGAAATATCACCTCGGAAACCCAAGGAGGGGTCACTATGAGTCGGATTTGATTTGATGGCAGTGATTTTGTTTGTTTTGTTTGAGCTGAACTATATCCTTGTTTCTACTGCCAGTCCCATGCTGTCACTTCAGCCCTCAAGGACTCTCTAGGTCCTAAGGAAAGAACTCTAAGATCTAGGTTTTAATACTGGCCCCTTCACTCTTTTGAGCAGTCAATTGCTGGTTTGCTCCAAGATTCAGTCTCTGCTGTTTCCCTACTCTGCTCTATCAGAAAGGAAAAAAAAAAAAAAAAAGACCAAACTCGCAGCTGTTGAGTTGATTTCGACTCATAGCCACCCCTCCTTGGGTTTCCCAGGCAGTATTTCTACGGAAGTAGATTGCCCAGTCTTTCTTCCGAGGAATGGCTGGTAGGTTTGAACCACTAGCCTTCTGGTTAGCTGTCAAATGCCTTAGGATGTAAATGTAGGAACTACATTTCCCACACTCCTTTTCCCATTGGCTTCTGGATAAATTTAGCCAATAGGAGGCGTCGGTAGAAGACAGACCAGTGGGAGGAGGTAAGAAGCAAGGCTATTTTTCCCCCGTAT